CTTGGCATTGTGTAGAGCGGGCCACTGTGTTCGTTAGTGGCTCAGCGGTCGATCTCCCTTTCGAAGACATTCTCTCCATCACCTTGTATCATTTGGGCCTTCTTTTTTTTGTTTTTGGGATGTGCGGCACTTGTATTCATAAGATCTGAAACATGTTCCAATTCCTCATCCATCATGCAACCTCGGCGTTCATGGTGGGGAGGGTGGCAAAAGGGAATTGGTGAAGTAATGTGGAAGGGGTGCAAACTGATTGAGGAGAGCGAATCACGTTTTCATCATCATCGTCTCGTTTACGTCAGCGTTTTTCACTGATGATGGGGAAGATAACATTACGAGCCAAACAGGGCGTGTCGGTTGGTTCCTCGAGACTGAGGGGTTTCCATTGATTTCAGGGAGGCCCCTCTACCGTAAAGTATCCAACGATTCCGCATAGTAACGTAACGCTTGGCCTTTCTTTTGCGAGGCAAAATGGAAACTATAAATAATGTTGAGAAAGCAAAAACTCGCAGAAAACAGCGTAACGGCAAATTTTTCTGATGCCGAGGGGTTGAATGTTTTTCGGTAGTGATATGGTCAGTTTACGTCCGCCAATCAAATGGTGATGGGACCGACGAGTTCTCCAGGGCACTGGGGCTTTCTTTAAGTGAGTCCCCCTACATCCTTAGAACCTAGGGATTTGTCCAGGCGAGTTCCCGACGCGGACTGCTGGCCATGACCCTGTGACCAAGTTCCCCTAATTCATGTCGACTACCCTTTGCCTTCTTGTCCGCTTCAGCTCTGCTTTGCCTCTTCCTCAATGACCAACCAATGACACTCGCCAGGAACGACAGAATCAGGGGCGCTCCGTGCTGTGTGTGATAATGTGCGCTGCATGGTTTGGGGTGATCACAGCCGGTTTTGCCGCCCTGCTTTCCCTGAAGCGCACATCGAAAGCGTACCCCTGTGCCCTCTCCGCCACACTACATGTCCGGCAGATTGCCGACTTCCCCATCGATTCAACGGCCGGTCCACACTCAGACTCACCTTCGCTTTTTGTCGCGCAGCAGTCTCTTCTCGGCTTCCGCTGCAGAGCCTGCCGCTGGGGTTCACTTGCGAGCAGCCCTACGACATCTCGACCGTCGAGTGCGCTGAAACGTGCCAGTGCTGGCTAGCCTATCGGCTCGACCAGAGGCTTTTCTGTACGGCCGCGTGCGGCACTCCGGAGCCACCCCGGGCAGCCCCTCCGGACGCCCTGGAACCCCTTGGGAGCCTGCCGCCGGATTGCACTTGTGAGCAGGCCTGCGACAGCTCCGCCTGCACCGCCGAGTGCGCCGAACCTTGCCAGGCTATCGGCTTCTACCAGAGCTTTTTCCTGCACGGCCGAGTGTGGCACTCCGGTGCCGTTGCCACCTGCTGCAATCCCACCCGAGCCGGACACCAGTCTGCACTCACGCGATGACGACGATGATCGGGAGGAGGATCACGATGGCAGCGTTCGCGCAACTGAGGGAAGCGGCGGATGAGGATGAATGATGCTGGCGAGGGAGGCTGACGGCAGAACATGCGCGGATCACGAGGTGGAACTATATGCAGTCCGCGAAGGGGTTTGATCGCCCGTATTCCTGATGCATTGCCAAATGCGGCACATTTAGTCGTTCCCTCTGATCTTGGTAGCAACTACTGCATGTATAGCAAGTATGCGGCTGCATTTTCAAGAGAAACGAAGGAGTAGTTGATACAAATTCAGCTTCCCAACAAATTGCTCCATTTAATTTGAGATGGAGGAGACAAAAATTTGGGGAGCAGCACGGAAATAAACAAATAGCGCTCTGCAACAAAATGCGGTGCAAAAAAGCGCAACTGCAAAAAATTTTGATGCGGAAGTGTTGAATGCTTTAAGATATGTGCAATGACGCCGCAGGTCGAGAACCATGGGCTGCGGTAGCAATATCGTTGCCGTGGTCTTCTAACCACCTGCACCCCACATGTGTTGAAGATTGAAGGGGCGCTCCCGTTCCTTAGAACTGTTGGGGGCGAACACGGTACTTATGCAAACCGCTAGTGCCCGTTGTATACTGCTCCTTTTTTTGAGGTCGCACGGGCACAGGTGTCGCCAGGGGCTGCGAAGTTAGCGATTGTAGTTTGATAATTGTACATTTACATCAATAAATTGTCATCCAAAACAAAACATCGATCAGCCAATCTCAGCTGTCCAATCTCTCAGGTCATTGAACGAAAAACGATGGCCCCAATTGAGCACCGTAAATTCATCTGGAACAGATGCATTGTCTCTAGGGACAGCCCCTGTGTCACTAATAACTAACACCATGAGTACCAAGCCACATAGTTTATCACAACCCTCATAGCTCGAAATGTAAAATACCTCACACGCTGCTGCCACATCATGGGCCCAGTTGGCCCCAATTGCTGTTCAGCCTCGCTGACAAAGCCCCTCATGAGCCAAAGTCTCATGGTCAGAAAAACAGAAACAATGACTCCAGTTGAGCACAGCAATGCGTCTGCAACAGATGCATGGTCACAAAGGAACCGTTCTTTGTCGCTATTAACCAAGACCTCGAGCAGTACTCGACGAGCACCAAGCCACATAATTTACCACACCCTTCGCAGCTCGAAATCTGAAATGGCTCACTTGGCGCCGCCACTTCCGCTCGCAGCTCCTCCCAATTGTTATTCAGCTTCGCTCACCTAAATCTCTCTTGAGCCGAAGACAACAGAGGTGTCTACTCTCGAGTGCCGAGCTCATTCATGGGCACCTCCAAAACCTTCGCCAATCGACTCGTCGTTCGGCATACGGCACTCCGAATCCAGCGTCTGGGACACCGAAAGGGCCCTGTGCTTGGCCCTGCGGCGCCTCACGGCGCACGCCACCACCGCGGCGACGGCCACGAGGATTGCCAGCAGTATCAACACGGGAAGTACCCAATCCGACACCCGGGCGTCGTCGGCCTGCGCCCTGTTCTGCTTCTGCTGGTCCTCTGCACCGTCGCTCTCTTCGGTCAGACTCTTGACCGTGGGGTCCTCGAAGATCGAATTACCGTTGCCGAAGCCGAGTGCAGCAGCCGCTCCACTTCCAAACGCTGAGCTGTGGCCGCTGGTGGTGGGCCCGCTGAAGCTGCTTCCACTGGATGAAGGGGTAGTTTGAGGGCGTGAGGTTGACACGCGACCTCTCGACCTCTGGAGGTCGCGTCCCCATGGCTGCCGGCCGGCGGCAAAAGGCGCGTGGAGGCTGAGGAGGACCACGACGAGCACCGTTGCAGACAGTCCGTTGTGCCTCTTTGATCGTGGCGCGGCTGGCAAGCCGGCCAGTGGGCCAAGATTGCTGGTGCTGCCGGGCATTGACGTCTTTTTGGCGCCGAACGCCTTCGACTCGCGGTGCGCCTGGCCGGTTGAGTTGCCTTTGGAATCCTTTTCCGTGTTAGTCAGCCTCTATTGGGGCTCGAAGCATCCTCAACCTTCTTGAGACTGCAGTGCACACAGCTACAACCAGTGTCAGTCAAAAATGATGTCAGCGTTCCAATGGTGCAATTCCAAAATGTGCTGCCAAAGACCATGTGACCAGACTCCAGAGGAGCATGCAGTGCTCGAAGAGGAGACCCCAGATTTCCCTCCGCCATTTTCGGACAGGACTGCAGCCTCCTCTTCTGCTCTCATTGCAGCCACACCGGAATGCGACTTCGCCCGCGCCGCAGGCGCGCAGCCCCGTCAGAATCCTCTGGAAGCCCTTGCGGCCCGCCCTTGGCTGCAGCCAGTGGTACAGAACCTATGCCCTTGGCTATGTAGCTATACAAAAGATACCAGTCCTGGCGCAAGTACCTGCCTGGTATACATGCCGGGCAGTAAACCTCCGCTGGGCACTTGCTGGCCCCACAGTCTTGCCCCACAAAAAGCCGAAGTTCCGGCGAGGTAGGGGGAGGGAGGGTAAGGGGGATTCCGGATATTTTGCGGAGACGCCGATGGCTGTCGCGCTGTCGTCGCACGCAGCGATACACGCGGAAGCAGAAACCCTCCGACCATCCGTAAAGTTTGCGATCTCGCCGCGCTCAGCCAGTAAGGAAAGTCCACTGTGCCCGTGGCCCGCTGTGTCCCTCGGGTTGGGGACGCGAGGCATGAACGTCGAGACCTTCCCTCCTGGTTCGCGGTTGGATGTGACCGGACTACCGACTAGCGCAAAGGAAAACGGCCAGTCGGTTCGAAGGTACACGGGCCACGGGAAGGAGCCAATCGCCTTTGCTCGCCGCGCCCCGGCAGCCAGCGACCGTTCACCACGGTGCGCCATTTTATTACCGAACACACTGTGAGCAGGGACTTGCCCACACCCATGGCCTTGCGACCGCTTCCGCCCCGCGGTGGCCCATGCCCTGTGCGCCGGACTTCGCTTTGTTACTCTCATCGAGACGCACTTCCGTGCGTTTTGCGCATCGCCCGCCAACATAGAACCGCCCAACACGCCATGGCAGAGTCTCGCATTCGACATGTTACCTGTCGTGCAGCTGAACCCAACGCGACTCCAGCGGCAGGCAGGGCCCTTTTCGCCTGCCGGGGCTGGCTTGAGTGCCGGCGGCAGGCGGGAAGGAAGCTCTGCGCTTCGGGCCTCGCGACCGCAAAGCGTCGGATGTTGCACTATTTGACCTGCACCCGCGAAATGTCCCGGAGCACCGGGTTCTTACCTGTGGAAGCTCCCAGGGCAGCCGTCGGCTAGCCATCAGATGCACTGGCCGACTCTCCCTCCGGAACTGCAACCACCTTCGAACCTGCCCATGTTGCCGACTGTGAGTCCTGGGGGCCATTGGTAATCTGTACCGGGCAGTCGTGGGTTTGGGGTCAGTACACGGGCGCAGTGCTGTCGCGACGTTGCGTAAGACAGTTTTGCACCGCTGTATACCGACGTCCGCTACTGCGAGGAAGGGCAGCGCTCTGTCACCCTTCGTGACAGCGGTCAACGTGGCATATGTACACCCGCGTGCCATGATTGATGGACTGGTCCACGGTGGCTCGGACCTCGGACTTCTGAAAGGGTCTGTCGACAGGGGCATGACAGCACGTGCATGGCACCTGCAGCCACCTTCGAATCTGCGCCAGCGCTCGAATGGGGTTCCCACATGGCTCAGGGGACGCCATTGTGCCTGGCAGAGAGCGAACGTTGGCATTCTGCTTTGCACTCGTCCGAAAACAAGGGAGGCGCTGATGTGGCATTCATGGCCATGGATGCAACGAGCCTGCGGATGCACAGCCAAGCAGCGCTGCACCTGCGTTTGGTTCCATCATTTCTATTTTCTGCAAGAATTACTTGAGGAATATTAAGAAGTGTATAGTGTTTCGTCGCTGCAATTACCTGGCATGCGATTGCGTGAAGTGGAGAAAGCAGGTGCAAGAAGCCGGGCGGGCATGACACGCGCTTGAATTAGGGTGTCTTAGCACTATGAGAAAAAGAGCCAAATAACAAGTGTTCAAACGTGTGCGAAGTTTACGGGTTTGGGGTATTTCCGTGTTTTTACTAAAAACATGCTAAAAACTTTTTGGCACACAAAACACTGATTAAATGCATAAAATGTGCCATTTGCTCCTTTTCTTGCTAGTGTAATTCAGACATATTGCGACCGCCGACTGGTTTGGCCTCTGGTCCAGACCCCACCCACAGTCGCAAATTTCATCAGAGGCAAGCAGTCCCATCACACAATGCCATGGTGTCGCCACAGAACAAAGCCTTTGAAAACACTCTGCAGCTGTCTGTTCGCCAGGTAGGACTCCCGCTGACACGTTTCCGGTCAAACTTCGCACAACGGCCCCGCCTGCCTCTACTTTGGTTGCGTACCAAATGCACGGTCTCCTGCTATCGCTTTGAGTCCCATAAAGGGCTTCCTTTGTCGTGGCTATTCCTCTAGAATCGCCGAAACGCTTATGAGCCAGATGGGTATATACCGGGCGCGGACGCCACTCCCACTTGCCAAAATGTCACTGGCCAAGTTGCCACTTACCCCGACGCGGACTCGTGCAGGTAGCCGGGGGGATGATCCTTCAGGTACACATCCAGAACACCAGAACACCGCACCACGTTCGCACCAACTGCCCTTCCCCATCCATGCTCGCCAGACTACGGGAGCCGTTCCTCGGCGCCCAGAACCCCCCTGCCCTGCGCGGCGGCGCGCCTCCCTTTGGCCACGGCACCGCGGCCCAATCTTTGTCCTGCGTGCGCGCAGGTGCGCGACGATCCTGCCGGTCGGCCTCCGCCGCTGGGACCCGGTCTGAAGCAGGTACCTGGTTTCCTGGGCAGTCCCCCGTCGGCGCCACTGGGACGTGATGGCCTTGTCATGAGCTTCAAACCGCTATCTAGGTGCAATGCTGTTTGTCAGAAGTTCACAGTACGCGATGGCGTTGTCTGTCAGAAGTAGGCTGTCAGTGGCTGTTGTTCGCCACCCGCAGGCTGTGCAGGGGGCGTTGCCTGTCCTCCTAATAGCGATAGCAGCGTTCCCAAGAATTTGTCGCCTTCAGGTCTTTAGTGAAGGAATGGCCATTGTACGGCCGCGTTTGCCTGCCAATTGTAACCCATCCCTTCACATACCAGGTGTGGTACTACCACCACCACACACGCTTGCCATTTCATGGGCCAGGATGCGGTTCGCTGGGCTTGGGCAAAAGTTGCTCAGTTTACTAACTTGCCTGCAGCAAGTGGCTCTCAAGCATGTGTAGGGCAAGTGTGCTGATACATCGGAACCCCACACGAAACACACATTTTTTCTAGTCATGCCGACGCGACTACTGTCTGTACTTGTTGCTCTTCTGCAAGACAAACACGCGAAATGTATTCTTGTAGGCAAAGAGATGGTCCAATGGATGGTATGCTGTCTTGTTTGTAACAAACAGCTGAGAATGCACACAATGCACGTGGCACAATAGTCAATTCCAGATACATTTTGTCTGCATGGCCTCTTTAGTGATGTTATCCCTGATTTGATGGTCTGGAATGCACAGAATATCCAGATTGTGCAGATACGCTTTTACTGCCTGCTTTGTGTTTCTTCTGTGTGGGCGGAAAATGCAGCCTGCTCACAATGATAGATTTTCATTGTTGTTTGTAACAAACAATTGGCCCTGTTTTCATTGTAGGTTCAACATGATGCACACTATAACGATCACTGAAGACAATTCAAATGCTGAAGGCTCCAGCTTTACTGCTACACTGACATTCGATGGTGCTGATCCTCAACAAATCGACATTGCAGTGCCTTTCTCAGAGGAGCAGGAAAAGGAGTTGGAATGGTACTTTGAGAAGTATTTGACATTCCCTTTTACTGACACCACCATTGCTGCAAGGGCGGCCTGCAGTGTCAAGGAGTACGGCACAAAGCTGTTTTGTCAGGTCTTTGCCTCTGACAAGAGCCACAAAGAATATGCACAGCTGCGGGGACACATGCACGACTTGGTGATCGAAGTGGTTGCCAAGACAACAGACTTTCAGTCCATGCATTGGGAGGCCCTGTGGGATCCAGATCGACCCTGTCCTCTGGCTGTGGATTGCAGCGTGGTGCGAAAGTTAGATGGGAGGATCAACCTGCCTGTGCAGATTCAGCCTTCAGCTGTCTTGAATGTTCTCGTGGTGGTTGCTCGACCGCATGGAGAGTGGGATGAAGGGTACCGCACAATCTCAAGGCCCCTGGTTGAGTCTGTTGTTGCAGGCACACTGAGAGCAAATATTGACCTGTTGCGCCCGGGCTCGTATGAAGCCTTGTCCAAGCGGTTGGAGGAACGGGGACCTGGATATTATCATATAGTCCATTTTGATTGCCATGGGGCGCTCATGGCTTACGCTGACATCTACCGCACAGGCTATTTGCTGGAGAATCGCTATGGGAGGCCAGACCTGCTGTGGCGTAGATATGAAGGTGTGAGGGCATTTCTCCACTTGGAGTGCGGAAGACAAGTAGACGTGGTTGAGGCTTCAGAGGTCGCAACGCTGTTGAATGACAAGGGTGTCCCAATTTGCATCCTCAATGCATGTCAATCGGGCAAGCAGTTGAGGCGGGGCTTTGATGGGGAAGGCATCTCGTTGAATGCAAAGATACGGAACACCAATATTGGGAGCCGCTTGGTGAGAGCAGGAGTGCAGGTTGTGATGGCCATGGGGTATTCAATTTGCATTCCGGCGGCACGCATTCTGATGGAAACCGTGTACAGGAGCCTGTTTGCCCAGCTGCCAGTGTTAGAGGCCTTCAGGCAAGGACGGCTGGAAATGTACAATTGCAAAGGCCGCACAGGCCACCATGGTGTCTCCATTGATCTGGAGGATTGGTTGTTGCCAGTGGTATATGCCAGCCAGTCTGCAGCAGATCTGAAACTAC